ATTATAATTAATTCTATAATAATATTTTATTTATTATAATATTATAATAGTTATAATTAAAAATACTTATTAAAATTTATAAATTTTGATAAATAATAAAATATTAAAGCTAAGTTTATAAATTATTAATATATAATATATCTTAATTATTATAAATCTTTTTGAATTTTAATAATATAATATATTATTAAAAGATAAAATATTAATAAATTATTAATATATCTATTTAATTATAATTAAAAAGATTACTTTATAATTATATTTTTTATAATTATTCATTTTATTTTTTTAAATATAATTATAAAAAAATATGATTATATTAAGTATTTTAATATTCTATATAATTAAATATAAAAAAATTTGTATTTTAATATAAAAATTATTTAAATTTTAATTAATTTTTATAATTCTTTTATATTAAATAAAAAATAATTTAAATTAACTTTTTATATTATTTTAATTATTTTATTATACTTTAATTATAATAAATAAAGTATTACTTTTCTAAAAAAAACTAAAATAAAATTATTTTTTTAAAAAAATAAGATATTTTAAATATTATTCCTATCAATTTATAATATTAGGACTTTAATTTATACAAGCAAATTTGATAAATATATATTTTAAATTTCATAAAAATTAAATTAATAATTATAAAAAAATTAAAATTCAAAGTTTAATAATTAAATTATTTACTATATAATAATTTTAATTAAATTTTATATAGTAAAATTTGAAAATTTTTTATAAAAAAATATATAATAAAAATTTTATATTTAAATAAATTCTAATATAATTAAATGAGATAGAATTAAAAATTTTATTTTAAAAAAATAATCTATTAATATTTATTTGAGATATAAATCTATTTGCATCAGATTATATTTAATAATTAAATTTATTATAAAATTTGTACAGACTAATTATCTTTATAAATATTAATTATTATTATTATTAATATATATATTAAAGATATTGATTAATTTAATAAAAATCATTATTATCTAATAAATCTTATTGCTAGAAATTTACTGAATAAATCATAAAATTATATTATTACAAAGATTTTTCAAGTATATTTTCTGTAATTCTACTGCTATATTCTTATAATATCAATTATCAATGTAATTTCTTATTAAATTATCAATTTTTTTTATTAATATATTAATATTATTAATTTTTATACTAAAAAATGATTTTTAATTGACAATACATTTAGTAATACTTTATAATATTAATATTTTCTAATATATATTCTTATAATTAATAAAAGAATATATTGTTATATCAAGGTATCTTTTTATTCTTATTTAGCTTATAAATAAGAGTTAGAATATAAACTAAATTATTTATGATATTAAGTAAGATCAAGTTATTCTAAAGACTTCCTAGTACTAGTACTTACAAGTATTTATTATTTTATTATTATCGATTTAAGATACTGTAAAAAGTTTCAAACTTTTAAAAACTTGTATGTTGACATATTTAATAATTAATATTATTTTATATATTTTATTATTTTTAATCTATATAAAACATAAGAGGGATGCCATTTATCACATGATATTATCCAATTAATAAATCCACCTATCCATGTATGATGTGATAATATAAAATAACATAATATAAATAATTAATATAATATAAATTTGCATGAATTAATATGATATGAATCTGATATTAATATACTGTAGCATGAAATTGGAAATCACATAATATTGGACATGAGATCAGATCTCATGATTAATGAAATTAGTAATATATAAATATATAAAATTAGTAAAGCTAATATATATAACTGGAATGTAGTGATGCAAAGTCTCAGATTGATACATCATTAGGAAAGAATCTAATATGAAATACACCAATAAATTACAAATATATGAAGATATACCAATAAGATACTAACTGATGAATTAAAATAAAAATGATTTATTAGTCTTGGTGATATAGAATTATGATAAGAATAGTGAGAGAAAATTTGATTATAAATAAGAAAGACTTTAGAATAAAAGCAAAATAAAAATTACAATTAAGAAATAATTATCAAATAATTCACCATTGTAATAAAGTTCTTATTAAATAAAATAAAGATTACTATTATTCTTAAATAAATATATATATTCCTTTGAATTATTATTAATCTGTTCTCACACTCTCTATTAATAAAGTAGTTTATCCTAAGACTACAAATACTAAATAATGAAACTATGACATCATGACTAATGAATTATCTTCTTAGGTAGGAACTAGCACTATAACTTGAAAAATCTGATATTGATTAATGAAATTATAAATTAATTAATGAAAAACTAATTAAGAAATAACTCATGATTATATAGTATCACAAATTACTCAATAGATCCCTCACATTTATTCCACTAAATAATAATATGATGTAAATTCACATTAATGATCTTTAATATTAGGTACATGTCTTACATATTTTAGACTTTAATAAAATATAAAGCTTTTTGACAAGTCTCAATTTTAACAAAAATTTCTTTTATAAAAAATCTACTGACTTGTATTAAGAATTTTCAAATGCCTATATGTACTATAAACAAGTAACACACTCTAATACCAGTCCAAATCATCAAGAATTATTAAGAGAAGCATGAACTACATGGAAATAAATCAAAAATCAAGACAAAGCTATTATTCAGAAACAAATTAAAATATATTTCACTATCTTACCTCATATAATTTAATCCTATCAGAGTCTTGTAATTTTGACACTCATTGCAAATTCTTCTACATTAGTATCTGTGTCTAGCATAACAAAAACTTTCTTGCAGATATCTAATAAGACAAATATCATTGCTAAAAACACAATTGGGCAAAATAATATTATTATCAAGATCAAAGAAGTAAGTTAATAATTATATACGTATGAATGATCATATATACAAATATCTGATGATAATTTGAGACAAGTATTAATAACTAAAATTGAAGAAAAAAAGAAAATTATCAATGAGAGTAAAGTAAAATTAGAGAAACTCAAATATTATGCAGAAGCTCAAGCAAGGCTTAAAGCAAAAAAGCAAAAAAGACTTGAAGAAATAAGTATTGTCAAAGAATATGACAAATCTGGATGATCACTAATAATGATTTCATATTCAGATCTGTGAAATAACATTCATGATTGTATTAAGTTTGAAGCTGCTCATGTAAAAAGAAGAAAGATAATAATTAAAGTTTATACAATCAAATATCTACGTGAAATATTAGAAGAAAAATATAATATTTATCTCTCACATCAGTATTTATCTATATATTTGGAACTATAATATAAAGATACTTTTGTCACTCATCATCACTGTTATTCTGCAAAAGTTGATTTTGCATCAGTAGCAAGAACTGATATGAAATAATATATGAATGAATATTATTGCTTGATATTCATTAAAGTAGCACAAGCTTTTACTGAGTTTTTCACAAGTGATTCTATCATTATCTCTCAAGATAACAAAATAAAAGTCAGTTTAGGTATCCTTACAATAGAATAAACATTTAAGATCATCTAAATAGTAAATGAATCTGTGATAATTAAAGATCATGATTTTCCCAAAGGAAGCAAAATAAAACTTGTACCTTCAGTATATCTCTTTATTGACTTTACTAATTCAAATAGTACTCTTCAAGCTGACAAACTTGCTATTTTTGTATGATCAGAATATTTTGCCAGCATATCATCATTGATCTATATGACAGATTTGCTAAGTCTTATTACCAATCTACAGTTTGCTTCTATTGTATTGAGAGAAGATAAAGTTAGACCCATATGGATTCTTCTTATTAATGGTGGATCTGATGAGAATTCAAAATATTTGAAAAATATTATCGAGTACTGTAATCTATTTTATTTTCTGGATCTTGATTATTTAATTATCCAAATACATATTCTAGAGTAGAGTACTTATAATCTTGTAGAGCATAGTATAGCTTCTCTTTTAGGTAAGACTGCTAAAATCACCTTACTTTTGGATGAGTACAGAATATATTTAAATTCTCAAGATGATGTTATAAATAAAGAATTAGCATGACGTAACTTTAAATTTTTGAAAGAGAAATTATATGAAATTTGGAGGAAAGATAAAATATATGACAAATCTGTAATAATACAATATGTTGGTGAAAACTCCAAATCATTTACTAATCTTGAGCAACTGACATAGGAATGGATTAAGAATCATGCTCAGTTATATCACTACTTAATGGATCTAAAAAAATATAAGAATTATCAATATTATCATGAATATCAAGCTCCTGATACTGTCATCTTGTTAGAAGAGAATGATGGATTTCTCCCTCTTATTATCAAGATCAAGAATAAATATTTTATTAATCTAATATATATCCTTTAATACTTTGACAAACTAAAAATTCTCCTCATGATCACTCATACCCATCTATTTCAAATGAAATATATTAGTACTTATATTATAGTATATGTGACAAGTATTATCCTATCTTAAAGTTTGTTGCAAGTTATAAGTGTCACAAGCATCAAATCAAGCATGGCCAATCTCAAAAACAAAAGTCTTTGCCAGAGATAGAAGTCTTAGTAATTACTATAGCAATTAACATATTAAACTTGAGAGTTGTTGAGAATATAAAGTATAGTTATAGTAATAAATGGCTAGAAGAAATAGATCTGAGACTATGTAAGATGCAAAGTGATATTGAGTAATTGATGAAAAATGCTAGCAGTTGAGAATTGACTGTATTATATAATAACATGTTTCTTTTTTAACATTATGTAATTAGACATATAATAAAAAGCACGTGATATATTATGATTTTGTGTTACGTGATAGTCAACATATACTATGCACACACCATGTATGTATGGTAAAAAACACGTGATAAATGACACCCCCTAAATACAATTTATATTTTTACCTAGAATGGGATAGGCAAGATGATCTCATTTAGGGATTTATAAAATAACGGCAAGAGAGTATGGCCAACAAAGTTAACATAATTATAATTCGATGACATCAAACTATTGTAGAAAAGGACATGTTGAAGTGGCAAGACAAAACGAGAAGAATCCCATAAAGATATATTATGAGATTCATGGAAATGGGCCAAAAAAGCTTTTGTTTATTATGGGTAAAATGATACAGTTCGAACCTATATGTTAATCAAAATAAAAACGATTTAAATAATAATTATCAAACTCTTATTTATTAAAGGATTATCAACGAGTTGTGTTTCCTGGAGTCATCAGGTAAAAAATTAGTTCTTTGTGTATATGCGTTCACGGAACTTAATTAAATCGTTATATTTATTTATAAAGGTCAAATACTTTGGTTCCCATAAAGATTACCAAATTTGCGTATTTGATAATCGAGGGATAGGATGGAGTGGTAACGATATATTTAGTAAATAATGAAATCAAGATATTTATTTGGATTTGGATTAACTTTTTTTAATTGTTTCAAATCTAATTATTGAACCGCAAACCCTAAATAATTGTGCTAACAATAAAGATGTACCGCCAGGATTTTATAGGTATTTCTAACGTAGAAAAAATTTTATATAATTACACAATTAAAATTATCACATCAAATTCACGGCTTTAATTTTTTAAAAAAAGCACATCACAAATGGCTGATGACACATTCGACCTCTTGGATCACCTAAGCTGGACATCAAAAGTGCATCTTGTTGGCGTCTCGATGGGCGGGATGATCGCACAGGAAATGGCATATGCAAGACCAGAGTATTTTCAGTCGTTGTGTCTTACCTCTACGCATGCTGGTGGATGTGTGCCGCCTGTCTGTATTTTTTATTTTCTTTATTGTCTTTCTTTTTGCTCTTTTTTTTTGTTTTTTGACTTTTGTTATTTTTGATAGCTTACGGGCGTTTTAACTATCATGAGGTCGATGTTTATTAGAGATCGGCACAAGAAAATTCCAATAATGATTAAACTATTGTTTCCGCCGGTATTTTTTATTTTTAGATGACATTGGATACGATAATCATTTTTTTGTTTTATCGGTGAAGTTTATATGCTAAATGTAAATAATTAATAAATAGTCTTGGTTAGATTCTCCCGCGCCTAGTGGCTCGTCATTTGAAACTAATAAGGCGCATTTAATGGAGGTAAGTTTATATGATACGGAATTTTTGAATGTGGCTATATTATTTTGATCGTGTTTTTTTTTTAGGAATTAAGACGACAAATCCAGCTCACGAATCCTACAACGTTAACTGGTAAATTCTTTTATGGTCATTAATATAAAAATGCGATATTACTCACATATAATACATTATGTGAAACAAAAGGATCAGTGGGTCAAATCGCTGCCGTGCTATCCCACGGAGTATCACGTGAGCGTCTAATTCAAATTCGCGAGAACATCCCCCGAATACTAGTCATCACTGGTACTTGGGATAATTTGGTCAATCCGAAGAACAGTTATTATTTAGGGGAAGAATTGCAAGCTGATCTTCAGATATTTGAAGGTAGGTGTCTTTTGCCCCTGGTATTCTTTGTTCTGGTATCTTTAGCTTAAAAATTTTGAATTACTGGAACTTTATAGGTAGCGGACACGCGCTGCCAACCGAACAAGCGGAACGATACAACATGGCATTGGAGGATCATTTCCGTAAAGCTGAAATGATTTCGTTGAACCGACCAGTTGTAATTTTATAAATAAGCATTTTTGAAGATAATGCAGACATCTATTTATCAAACAAGAGAAATATTACTTATTATGCGTACATATTTATCTATTAATTTATCAGACAAGAGAAATATTATTACATACATTAATAAACGAATTATTATGACGATTTTGTGATACGATTATTTTTTGTATTAATTTGGACAATTTTCTCTTTTTTTTATTTAATTATTATAAAATGGTTATTTTTACAAAAATAATGTAGTAGACAAAAAAGATTAAAAAAAAAAAGGAGAAAATGTGTAATACACACAGCAGAATATGGGTAGGTTGTTATGTTAAATCACACACAAAAAAAGGCCAAAAAATGTACATAAGAAAGTAAAAAACATTATAATTCATTATAGGTTATTGAATTGATTACTCAAAAAAGGGAGTGGGTAATATTTATATGGTATCTGTATAAAGATAGATTTAAGATCGAGTAATCATTCAATAAGTAATAAAGGGGAAACTGTATACATGTTGTGTTGACTTTGTTGTCGTTGTCGTCATGTTGTTGGTAATAATCTAATAATACTGACCATTTCCTGTTGTCGTTATTCATTCTATTTGTGCAATGATGGTTGGATGATTATATGCGAAATGGTTAATGCTAATATGTGAGATATAGTATGTACTGTCTAGTGATGAAAGTATGAACAATGATGACGGGGGGGGGGGGTTTTTTTTTGGTTTATATTGGAGAGGTAATTTTTTTCGTTATCAATAGATTCCTTTGTTTCCTTTTTTTCTCTCCTTGAAATGAAATATTTTTTTTTGAGGGTATAAAAAATCCGCCGGGTTGATGAGGGCGAAAATAATACTAATGAATCAAAATGACAATTTTAGTAGTGATATTAATATTGGGAAAAAAAGTGAAGCATGATTTGATTTGGTTGGTTTGATTTGTTAATTGGTAGTTGGAAAACGTGTTCAGCACGGAGAGGAGAGAGATTTTGAAGAAATAGAACAAAAGTTATTATTTATATAATGATTCAAATCCAACGTTAAGCGCTGGCAGGGACAACGTTAGTAAATCTAACATTCTCCCTATTATCTTCTCGTTCTGCTAATCCTGCAACAACTGCCGACAGATATTCGGCCAATTGCCATTTCGAAGGTGGTTTAAATTTATCCATTATGTATTGTTCCATTGAGAAGAAATTCAATTGATCTTGTATGAGACTTGTCCACTTCAAATAAATTTCTTCGCTTGCTCCGGATGCAAAAAGTTCATTATTGCTGCTTTTATTACCGCTGCTACTGTTGTTATTCTCATTGCTCCTACTACTGTTGCTTGACTTTTTCGGACTAGCAACTGTAATTGTAGACATCATCGCAATTTCCTCTCTCAACTTTTTCGCAAAAATCTCAAATGCAACTGCCTCAAACTCCATATCCGTTTCAACCGTCGACACGAGCATCGAATCAATCCCACGATGCATTTGCCCACGATAAAATTGCACCCAGCCCAAATCCTCCAAATATTGTTCCACTTCATCCGCAACACGTTGGCACGCATCCCAATCATGAGGATAGTAATAATTAACTGCAAGCATATTGTGCAAAAATAGCCCGAACCTTTCAACCACGTGCAGGACGCGTTCTATTCGTTGAAGTGCTCGCCGCGGACCAGGCGGTTCCGCGCATAAACATGAAGGTTCGCTCGGCGCGTTAATCATTATGAGCTTTTTCGCGTATTCAGTTGTTAACGGGAAGCCCCATTCGTTGGCGGTTCGTAGTAGATCCTCTGGAGCTATGTCCTGACTTACCTTTGTGAACCAAAGTTGTGCGGTTACGGTGTGTGGACCGGCAAGGTCACGAAAGTAGTGATTGGTGGAGGCGAGGGAACGCAAGTCTTTGGCATTATCGATGGAAAAGACAATGAGAAAGAGAATCTCAGTTGGGAGTGAAGTCAATTGCAGCGCCTGACGGTTGGCCATGTTTTATTTTTTATTTAGTTTTTTTTGTATTAGTGACAAGTAAATTGGCTCTTTATTAAATAGTTTGCGAATGACAGATAAATAAATGGCTACCTAAATAGGCTATTTTAGCTACAACTAAAACAACAGCAGCAATAATAAAAGGTATTTATTTGATAGAGTGGATAGATAAATACCCAACTATCAAAAAAAGGGAATTTGACAAGGAGAGACAAAAGTTAGGGAAAGGAAACAAAGGTTATTGGCCTTTGGGCAAGGAAAGTTAGTGGATTGTGTATATTTGTGTGTGTGTATGAGTGTGCGTGTGTGTGTGTGTGAAAGTAATGAGAGGAGGTTTATTAACGAATAAAACAGGAAACTTTGAAATGATAAATAAATAATAATGGAGTAATATTGATATACACTTTGGGCCTTTTTTTTGATTGGATGTTACATCATTACGTAGTTTCATACTTGCATTTTTTTCTCTTTTAAATCTTCGTTCTTTTTTTCGCTCACGTGTGTTGTTTACTTAAGTTACGATTCAGTCAGACATGGGAAAAGAAGGGATAAAAAATTACTATCAGGCAAAAATAGAAGAAGCCGAACTATTAATCAACGAAAAAACACAGAACTTACGGCGACTTGAAGCTCAACGAAATGCACTGAATGCGAAGGGTGAGTAATGACTGATAAAGTATCCGAGTAATACTCTGGCAAACATTACTGCAAACTTCGTGTTATTCATGTTTCCTTTAAAAAAATTTTTTTTAAATAGTTCGGTTATTGCGTGAAGAACTACAACTATTACAAGAGCCCGGGTCGTACGTGGGAGAAGTGGTAAAATTAATGGGCAAAAATAAAGTGCTTGTAAAGGTACGATGACGATCTTGAAATTATTATGATCCAATAAATAAAAAAAATATATTAAAAGATGTATCTGTGTATCTCTATCTTTGTAGGTCCATCCTGAAGGAAAGTACGTCGTAGATATAGCTCCCGACATTGACATTGCAAACATAACGCCAACATGTCGGGTTGCACTACGTAATGATTCGTACACCCTTCACAAAATACTGCCAAACAAAGTTGACCCGCTCGTCTCGTTAATGATGGTCGAGAAAGTGCCTGATTCGACGTATGAGATGGTTGGTGGATTGGATAAACAGATTAAGGAGATAAAAGAGGTTATTGAGTTACCGGTGAAACATCCCGAATTGTTTGAAAGTTTGGGAATTGCACAGCCAAAGGTATATTTCCAATGTCCGTTTTATATATATATTTATTTCTCTATCTATTTATGCATGACTTTTTATGCCAAGTTCTCTTGATTATTAAAACTGTCTGTTTTGTATTAGGGTGTTTTACTCTATGGACCTCCGGGGACAGGTAAAACCCTACTGGCACGTGCTGTCGCTCACCACACCGATTGTAAGTTCATTCGTGTATCGGGTTCAGAGTTAGTGCAAAAATATATTGGAGAGGGAAGTCGAATGGTGAGAGAATTGTTTGTCATGGCGAGGTATAATATCTATTCTATTCTTTTTTTTTGACTTTTTCATCGATGATGATCAATTGATTTGATGGAAAATGGTTGCACATAAATTAGAGAACACGCGCCATCCATTATATTTATGGATGAAATTGATTCGATCGGGTCATCGCGTATAGAGTCTGGCTCGGGAGGTGGAGACTCTGAGGTGCAACGAACGATGTTGGAGTTGTTGAATCAGTTGGACGGTTTTGAACCTACAAAGAATATCAAGGTATTATTTATTTAATAACCACCCTGATAATACCTATTGAATAAAGAATAACGATATATGTATGCATGGATGTGAAAATTTCTGGTATTCTATCAATATATGTGAATATAGGTTATTATGGCAACTAATCGTATTGATATTCTCGACCCTGCATTGCTGAGACCTGGTCGTATTGATAGAAAGATAGAGTTCCCGCCGCCATCTGAAGTTGTGAGTATTCTTGTTTTCTTTGTTTTTTATGATAAACGGATAAGATTTCTAATGTCTTTAAAATAATAGGCACGGGCCGATATCTTAAAAATTCATTCACGTAAAATGAACCTAACACGTGGTATTAATCTACGTAAAATCGCCGAGAAAATGACTGGGTCTAGTGGTGCCGAAGTCAAAGTAATTAATTAACCAACTAACTAAATCACTCGTACTATTTTTGATTATTCCACAAAAAACTAATGATATTATTTTGAAAAAATTAGGCGGTTTGTACAGAAGCTGGGATGTATGCGCTACGAGAACGACGTGTACATGTCACACAAGAAGATTTTGAAATGGCCGTTGCTAAAGTTATGAAGAAAGGCGAAGAGCAAAATGAAAGTCTGCGAAAACTCTGGAAGTGAACCACCGTCACCATCAACAACATCATTATCATCATCAAACAATCCGAGACGCTCTTATTATTATACTTGTAAGAGTTAATGAACAATGCGTAGTCTCGTTTCTGCGCGCGCAAATGTTTGTATTATTTATTATTGTGTTATATTTTGCAAACTTGTTTCATTCTGGTTCCATCCTTTTTCAAAATCGAATGATTTTTCACATAATAAAAGAAATGTGGCAAAACCTTTAATTCAGCATCCAATAATACCACTAATTTTCTATTTTTCCAAGCAATCAGCACGCTATTACTTTTATAACAAAGGTGCGTTTCAATTTCACATCACAATTAATTTGCAAAAAACATGATGAAAATTTCTTCATCTTAAGCCAAGAGTACGCAAAGGAAGCCTTTAACTAGGTAGAACCCTCCTTTGCCCTGTTGTGCAATTAAAGAAAACTTAGACATCTCTATTTCTGACTTTCATTATGATTGTAATAAATCTTACAGTTTATTCGTATATTAACGATATAAATTCTTTACATTCAATATATTAGGGACCGCTGGTTTGTCATAGTGCTTTGCATTTCTTTATTATAGCATTATTTAAATCATTATAGACAGATTTCGCTTTTAATTGTAATAATTGAATATTGACTGTATCGGTCAATGATCAAATAAAATAAATAGAATTAAACAGGAGCATTTTGGAATCTTATTTTTTCTTTTATTTTGAGAATAATTAACCTTCAAAACTAACCAAGAAATTAAGATGACTCGAACGTTTACATGTATAATAGACGAATAATAGAGTACGCGGAAATGGGAGCATTTAAATATGTAAACAGCACCTATTGTTTTAATTTTGAATATATCTTATCGATTTCGTGTAATATACCAAATATTTTTTCTTCACTTTGTTCGGATTTGAATTGTTCAATTAAATACTGCTTGACAAACGGTTGATCCAAATAATCATGAATCACATTATGCAAAATTTGAAAAATGAGTACTAGTGGTGGTTGTAATGAAGGTGGTGGTATTTCCCATGACTGGTTATGATGATGGATAGTTGTTGCTGTATCCTCCTTATTATTCTTCTCGTGAATATCGTAGTAATTTTTTACAAGTCTAAAAGAAACACAAGAAATCAATCTCCAAAACACGACCCAATCCCATCCTGAATTGGTCAACAACAATCGTTGACATGTCCCGACAAATTCCAACTCATCCATCTCACTTTTCAAATCACGTATCGCGTTTTCCACCTCTGCCAGATCCGTATTCAGTGATTCATACAAAAACGGAAGAGCTGTAGATTGTGCCCAATTATGATTTATCGAGATACAATCACCAATATTCTCGACCATGTGATACCATGAGGATGGAACAAAAAGCGTCTCGCCAGCATTCTGGTAAACTATAATTCGATGTGCTTTCTTAAAATTTGGAAATTGATTTTTGGATATGGTGTCTTTCTCTCCGTTATTTATCTCGGGATCCTGATCTTCATCAACATGATGACGTACATCATAGATCATGTTTCCCAAATTATCTTTGAACAAGGATTCCTGACCCGGTGGAAATAATGTCCATTTCTTGGTTCCGCAAATGTTTGATGACCATGAACAGGAATGATACACGTCGCAATGAAATGGAGTGAATGTTTGGTCTCCACCCATATATACAAAGCGATAATCGTCATTTGTGTGTGATAACCAGAATTCATTCATCCAGTCGTCTTTTATGAATTAATTTGTATATGTAAATGAGCATAATTTACTAAAATTAGAAAATATCAAAGTTTAGAAGATACAACACTGAAAATAATAAGATTTACTGAAGATCATTCTTTAATCATACCTTTGAAAATCGATGGAATTTCATAAGCATTGTATTCAGGAAAAGCCTTTACGAAGTGCCAGTCTTTCAAATATAGCAATGGATTTTTTGTTTCAGAGTCAGAAGAGGATGATGTTTCCCTCCATCTAACAATAAAATCTTTAAATAACATAGTTGTTCTGACTTGATCAGTGAAATATCGTTGGGAGCAATCAGCTACGCATACTTCTGCATCTCCAAATTTGGAAATAAGAAACTCAAAATTTGGGCGTGATTTTTGGCTCCCATGTTTCTTTACAATGATATCGATACGATGATTAATATTTAGGCAAAGGATTCAATTGAACATAAAAATAATTAATATAACTATTTACTTTTTCATTTTCTTTATCCTCAACTACCCACTCTTTCCGTGCACGCCAACTAGCCGTCAACTCTGGCCCAATTAACACTGGTACATTAGGAAACAAATGGTTTTCTAAAAACTCGTTGTATGAGGGTGGGGTTTTCAGGTATTTGATTTCTTTGATAGCGGCGTAGTTAGTAATAATGTCTTTTATCACCATTTTTTTTTTTGCTAAACCAAATTTTTTGGGATTAATTCCATCAAATCAAAATCAAATCAAATCACATGTAATATAATTAACTAGCATTAAGTTATGCAATGTAATATTAATATGCAATTATCACATTACTTATATGAGTTTACTAAAGTTTTGATATTTTTTATGAAATTTATAAAGGAGTTATTATTTAATATTTGTCAATATTAACAAGATTAATATTTGGATCAAATATTTTGATATAATCAATTAAAATATAATATAAAAAATTATAATTATAAAGAAATAATAATTATATAAAAGTTAAATTTCTTATATTTATAATAAATTAAAAACTGAAAAATAATTATAAGTTTTTAAAATAAATTATTATTTTTTACAAAAAATTTTAGTTAAAAATTAAATTTTTATTAAAAATTTTAACTTATTTTTTAAAATTTTATTATATTTATAATTTTATATAATTCTATTTTTTATTAAGATATTTATAAAAAAGATTAATATTTATAAAAATCAAAATAATTATTATAATAATTTATAATTAATAAATTTATAATATTTATTTAAAATATTAATACTTATTTTTTAATAAAGTTATTTATATATATGATCTGGTGCAAAAATGTAAATATATCAAAAAATAAAATTTTTAGTTATCTCTAATGAAAAATTTGTAAAATCTAATTAATAGTTATAATTTTTTTA